TTTACGCTTTCTCTGGAAGAGTTATTACCGTTCGCTGGCGTGATTGTTTGGTGTCATAACGTAATAGGTTTGGTTTTCGGTAACGGTCGTTGTCTGTTTTGCGAAAAAGTTTGTAATTGAGAAGATGACGCAAACGGAGCTAAAAGATTGACAGTATTAATATAGTCACGTTATGCCCCTTTTGTTCCACATTATTCTTTTGTGGTCATTGTCTTAAAAAAATTAGATTTGCCCCTAAAATGCTGCCTTATTATTGTTAATCCTCAAAAAAAGTTTTTAATTTTAGTAACTTGCTCCTGTAACCTTATCAGTGCTCTTGTCCTTTTGTTACCAAAGTTTAACTTGTAGTGTTTCGTAGAGCTCTTAAATTGTCAGCCTTGTCTGTCGTGTATATTATTAATATCGACATTTAACACTTTTCTTACAAGCGTTGTTGTATAACGAGCTTTACATTACCATGCACGTTAAACAATTTGCGCAATCTATTGTTCTTAGTTTTTGTTTTTATCTATTTATCGCAGAATTACTGCAGACATTGTTTTTATTTTCCAAGAGGATGTAATACGATTTATGATTGGGCAAACCGGATTTGAGAAGAATTGGTCATATTCACGTAATTTTTTTTCACCATTTAGTGTAAAATTAAAATTAATCGAATTATTGCAAAGATAAACATTGTATTTGTAATCACTATGAAAATGGATAGGTTCAACCAATTAATTTTTTATTAAAGAGTAACATTAAAGTTGTAATGCAAAGTTGATCTCTGACTCATCTTCAAATTATCCCAGTTACTGACGTAATGGATTAAATGTCTAAGTACGCCAATTTTGTACGTCTCATTCGTTTTATTAATATCTCGTTTCATTACTATCACCACTTGACATCAATGTGACATGCCTATCTGACAGGAGCAGATAATTTATAAACCCAAAGTCAGAGCCGTCAAACAGTGTCCCGGGTCAATAACGAGCAAGGATAAGAAGAAAAACTCGTGGAAAGCCGAATAGCAGCGGTTTATAAATCGATACAGAAACAACCACCACTTGCGCCGGCTAAAGTTAAAACTAAAACGAATTATAAAAAAAAGGGGGCGGTAAAAAGGCCGATCAAAGTTAATGACATTGCTCGCGAGACTATTAAACGAAAAAGGGGGGAAAGCGACGAGTAATTCTGACGAAGACAGTGGTGAGACAACAACCATAACAACGAGGGTAAATGCGGACGATAAACTATTATCGAAAAATAATTTGAGCGGAACGTATAGTGACGGAAAGGTACCTCGGTCTAGAAGGGGACGACCAGTGATCATAATTGTTAGTTACAAAACTAAAAGACGTAATACGAAACTTTTTTCCATGTATTAATTAGTCAAACGTGTTCTTTACAAGCATAAACCCCAACGTTATAACTATGTAGCCTCTACTAAGCAACAATATCCCAATAGCAAGTGCTTGTGAATGCCAATAAATATTACCAATAAAATAATGACCAACGAAATTAATAAAAAATTCATAAGCCAAACATTTGCAATACGTAAATTTGTCAATCATTATTTGCGTATCGTTCAATATATCAATGATACAACGAATACAGTATATCGGCGTAAAATTTCAATGATCATAATTGTACAATCAGTTTTTAAAAAAACATTAAAAATTATTTAAAGCAATCCCTTTTTCAACTTCCAATGTCTAATCTTATACCACACAAAACACAAGTTTTTTCTTTTTGTCTTTCTACACACAAAAATTACAACTTTTATTATAATTGTTCATCTCCGGTAATCCCATACATTATTTTCTGTTTCAATTTGTCGCTTTCAAAAGCAAACAAACCAAGTAACTGTTTGTAAAACAAACAGCGTGAAAACACTGACGAATAACTTTTATACTTAGATGTCATGTAATGCTTTTTTTCGAGTAAGAATACCCAACATGGAGAGTTTGGTAAACTTTGCAGAATTAAAATCTCTTTTAGCAAAGCAAATGATGATGCAAATGTGTACGTTATGACATTATTATGTATTTAGCTGTCCATTGGTGAACCACACTCTCAGAATAGATCATTAATCGGAGTTTAGCGTGCGATTTTGAGGATAAACGGCGACCAGCTATGCGCAATTCTGCACAAGTTGAGAGCAAATGACCCGCAGGAACTGTGTAAAGCCGTGCAGTGATGCCGATTCAATCAGAGTCAAGCAAATTGGTATAAACTTTGGATAATATTTTTGGGTCTGAAAATGTGATAGACGATGATGACCTCCTGATAACAGTTATATGTAAAACTTCTTTTCGACAATATAAACATTTGAAAATAAAGTTCAGATTCCAAAAAGTTGGAATAATTTTTTTTTCTTCATTAGCCCATGTTGCTGACAAAATATTATCACAAATTACTGTACTAAATTTAGTACAGGAAGATTTTCGCAAAAGAGGAATGCACATGTGTAGACTCGAAACTAATATACATTCTAGCAAAGTTTGGATAGAATCGTTTATGTGGTCGGCGTGAAAGACATTTTTATCTACTGTACTAAATTCAGTACGATAGGTAAACGGATACCCATTAAGTAATTAAAAGATTACTGTTACAATCCCGAGCATGATATTTTTTGTTCAGTAAAGAGTGATGAAATGTTTTTTTTTGTTATGAGAAATTCGCGTTGTTGTAATTACATTGTTCGTTAATATTGGGTTTAGCATATTTCAAACAAAGCTTTGATTAGTTAAACAAATACCAGCCAGTGACATTTTTAAAATCAGGCTTCGCTACCCACGGGCTTGTGTATATAAACACTTTAATATAATGTTTGGTGCATGTTTCTACTTAAATAGCAATCGTAATGCCACAAGAATATCTGCGAGACAAAAGCCAATATTTTTAATTAATATAAGGATTACAGCTACACCGTGACGAAAACAAAAAAAAACTTAATGTGTTGAGATATTTTATTAACTGTAAAATATTAGCAAAACTTTTGTCACCATTGCTTTTTCGAAAAACGTGCTTTTAGCGGGAATTTCTTTTCCATTTCTTGGTTCGACATTGTTGTTACAACTTTATCCTTAATATGTGCCACAAATTTTCGATAGAATCAAGGTCCGTACTATTCCTGTTGTAGGATGTAACGATTTCATACATGTTTAAAAGTTGGTTAACATAAAAAGGTAAGTTTCTTTTTGGTAGAATGTTTTTCCGTTAAGCGAAAAATTTAGCCTTCTGCAATGTGTGACACTAACGACGGATTATTGTTTCGGAAAAAATTGATCCCAAATGGGGAAAGGCTAAAGCGGAGCAGAACGTGATCCTGTATTTGCAGTTTTATTGGCTGCCATACAAATTTGACCAATGGAATTGCGAGGGATCTGCTCCGCTTTAGGCATGCCCCGCAAATGGTACCTTCACGTTCCACATATGCGAAGCACAAAGCTTATATAACCTTTATTACTCGGTAAAAATATAGATTTGCATATCAAATCGTTATTGAAATACTTCTGTTCTTACGTAAGTGTTTTGTTTGACGGCGATGAACAAGCAATTATGTAAGCGTTTGACGACGACCTGTTTGAAAACTTGATTTGATTTCTTTAATCAGCAATGTAATAGCGTCTGGAGCGAACCAGCCTAAATTTTACGACCACCTATCAATTGGTACAATCTATTTTCCCGAAAATCATATTGTCGCTACCATTATATAATTATAAGGCGAGCGACTGTAGTTTCGAACAAATATTCGTAAATTTAAAGTGTGACACATATAAAACGTTGTAAAAATTTGTTTGTGCTTAATTAATATTAATAGATGACGACAATACCAATTTTGAAAAAAAAAATAAGAGAGATTTAAAAATGTTCTACGAATTGATCGCAATGATAATTGTAAAATGTTGGCAGAGCACTGTACGTAACTTCGTAAATAATGTTTGTTCCGATAAAAATAAAATAAAATAAGATAACATGTAACCGTTTTTTACAAAACGTGTTGCAATCACCAATGTGTTTTGTTTATTAGCATTTTGTTTACGCAGTGTATATCGAATAAACTAAGAAATGAATTGTATAACTCACCGTTATTTAGAAAATTATTATTATGAAATAAAATAAGACACACATGGAATAACATAATAAAATCTAAGAAAACCAAGCTTTATATATGACTCCCAAATACATAGATATGCAAGAAATGCATATTGTTGATTTAGTAGGTACCTTTACACGTAATAACTACTGTATGTAAAAACCATAAGTTGCTATTGCTTGAGGAAAGACCAAAACAATAATCTCAATCGATAAAAGTTTGCAAAATATTTACTTTTCAAATAAATATTTAAAATTGTTCTCTGTTTGTTGCTAAGTGGAATAAGCCTTTTAACAATCTCAAACTTTCAGTAAATTGCAATGCCTGCTTAATAGAAACTACGAAATATCAATCTATTGTTAAACATTTAGCAAACAAAATTTTACTCACTAAATATTTAAACAAGTAGTTTACAAGAAAAACTACAAATTGAAAGTGACACTTTTTTTGAGACGATTTAGGAAGAAAGGCTGTTGCTGTATCACGATAAACAATTCCTACTTTTGAAAAACACGCCTCAGGGGGAAAACCAATCGAGACAATTAAAAAATATTTGCTTCATCTACCATTTTGTTTAAAACCAATTTGGTTTATAAAATAAATTTATTCGTTAATAGTAATCTTCAATCGGATACTACTAATCGATAAAAATTGACTATAGCGAGTTACTGCTGTTATACCAATTGTTGAATTCCTGTATAGAAGAGACAGCTTGGAGCAATTAAGATTAAGGGAGGACTAGCCGCTTAAAGTTTTAAGCGAACGGCAACTGCTTGGTCCGCAAAATCAATAATAATAAAAATGCACTCCCTAAACTCCACCAATTACAATTACGATCATCGTTGAGGCGTAAGTAACACCAATTGTGATAAGAGTTGACCAATCATTGAGTAAGCCTCCAGTTAAACTTATCATCGTTATGAACGTCATTCGTCAGATATCTCGTTTGAGATTCAACAATATCATCTGCTCACGCTCATGTCCGAGATCCAGCATCGCTTACTCTATTTCTAGGGAAAAAGAATCGATCTCGTTAAAAATTCGTAACTTGTCGACCACCTCTTCTATTACATCGAACGGACCTATCAAAGTAGACCAATCATTAAACAATCTAATAATCGAATGGCCCAACATAAAGACTCGATACAGTTACATCTGGCTTAGAGATAATTGTCAATGCTCAGAATGCTTGCATCCTGACAACAAACAGAGACTCCATTCGAGCGCTGATGTTCCACTCGACATCAAACCACTGTCAGTGACCACGACAGACAATGGAATTACAATCGTTTGGGACAAGCTATTACGGAAACAGAGCGATGATGAGTTATTCCACCAAAGTACATACGAGTTTTCATTCTTAAAACATTACTCTTCCAGAAATGCGACAATCTCGAAAAGACGCAATGATTTAACTCAAGTTGTGTGGGATGGTGCTTTGATGAAAGAGAAGAATATATGGGTCGATTGTCACGAGTATATGAATTCAGACAAGACGTTGTTGGCTGTTTTGAAACAATTGTGGTCGTATGGATTGGCATTCCTGTATAATGTTCCTACTAGAGATCAAGAGATTGTAAAAATAGTGACACGAATAGGGTCTTTAAAGAACACGTTCTACGGTCCCACATGGGATGTAAAGTCTGTGCCTGGTGCCAAGAATATTGCGTATACGAATCTGGAATTGGGTTTGCATATGGACTTGTTGTAAGTATTTGTGATCATTATACGTAACGTAAACGCATTGTTTCTGACCACCACTCTTTTGTTTCGTCAACAAATCAGATACACCGAAGCTCCTCCAGGTCTACAATTTCTTCATTGTCTGCAAAACACTGTGACAGGAGGTCAAAGCATTTTTGCCGACTCTCTTGCTGCCGTATATAATTTACGACAAAGACATCCGCAAGCCTATCAACTCCTCAAACAGACTCCACTTACTTTCCATTATGTAAACGATGGCCATCATGTACACTTTAACCGACCAGCAATAGTTGAAGATTTACACAATAACACATTAACGGTGAGCTATGCTCCACCATTTCAAGGACCCATTGAAGCATTTGCACCCGATGAGGATAATGACGATGACGACGACGACGACGACGATAAAGCAATGTTGTTTTATAAAGCCTATCAACAATTTACTAGTTGCATCGAAGACCCTAGACTGCAATTAGAATTAAGATTAAATCCTGGTGAACTAGTCATCATGACTAATAGAAGAATATTACATGCTAGACGGGCATTCGATCCGAACAGCGGTGAAAGACACTTAAAAGGAGCTTATCTAGAGTATTGTGAGTTTAAGGATAAATTGAGAGTACTATTAGCAACGGAAAGCAATGGAAGCTTACAAGGGCTAGACTGACAATAATTTTATAAATTAGATAGGATTAAAGTGTGAGAGAAAATCAGATTTCAATCTTTATTATGAATTAGGTGATAATAATGAAATCTATCGCGAGAGTTAAAGCGTACGCATGAAGTCAACTTGTTTATCGATGACTGTCTTAATTGCACAGTAATTATAACAGAGGAGTAAAATGGGTCGCATATTTGGACTTGAAAACTTCTATTTTACGTAATGAAGAAAGGGCACAGTCCTTTGCAGGTAGGATGGCATACATAAATTTTTATCCGATCTGCATGTCGGCGGGCGGTTTGGGCGTGGAGTGTATACCTGCATATACATAATTAATCTCCGAAATATTTGCTTGAAACTGAAATGTATTTATTATAATTCCATCGAAACAGCGACGCCTCATTTACCATACCATTACTATTATTAATATGATCGAACATCAACACTTCAATTGTCGGTACAAGTCAAATTTAACATGACAAGTGTTCAAGATAATGGTCAACATTTTTTTTACGTCTAGAGCTCAATTTCTTTGTTACACACCGTGAACTTGAGACAAATATCCTGCATCTTTTAATGTAATAGCAGGTAGATAACATAGAGAGACAAGATATGGTGTTGTTTATATAATCAGCCGTTTGTGTCACGTCACGCGAGTTTGAGATGTAGATTTTATTGCAGCTTTGGTTTCATAGTCTCTGACAATAATATTAGAATTAGTATCAGTTATTACCGAAAAGTACATTGGTACATCGCAAACCGCTTTGGCGGCGCAATATTTATACGATTGTAAATAATATGACAGAGCGTGAACGAGTAACTATTTAAAGCAATTTATTAATTCGGTTTATTACTATAGGGAATGTGAAACCCTCTATTGTTATGGATTCTAATTCCATCTTGTTTTCTTACATTTGTTTTAGGCTATACAGGTTGCTATGTAAGTTTTCATATATGCTGTACATATTCCGGTGTACTTTCTTCGTCATTCTATTGGTAATTTACGTACATATTTTACGAATTGTTATAATGCAGGAGAGAGTAAGACGAATAGATTAAATAGTGGGACTAAACGTCTAGATGCTTAACGTTCTCAGCGATAGCCTTCTTTATAAACAACGCTCTACAATCGGAAAAAAAGAGAAAATATTCTTGTATCGATTACAGATACGCCACATTCGGGCAAAGACGAGGAGTTGTTTATTCTTGCTTCGGGATTATTTTTCGTTATTCAACACAGCATGTCGCGAAGAACCACTGCGCATTACCAAAACTGTCGAACAACATCGTACATAATGTAAGTAAGCAGGTGGGGTAAGCAGGTGGGTAAGCAGGTGGGTAAGCAGGTAGTGTCTTCTGACTAAACCCATGATGAAAGGACAATTCTAAAATGCAAGCGAGTCTTGCTGAAAAAAAGTTGAAGAACATGCTGGAAAGAGAGAACAATGAATATGAACAACAACGAGCAGCTTTGACGTTTTTTTTTTGTTTGAGCCTACTCCTTTTGAAGCCAAACGATGGAATAAACTGTTTATTCTCTCCCGTTGTCGGTGTGCAAATACAAATTTGGAAAACTGAAGACAAGAGAACGAGACACGAAAAACTACTCGAAAGATAGAATATACGGCTTTCTTAATTAGGAATATAACTATTTACAAATAATTTTCATTTGTTTATATTACGACATCAGAGATGAAGATTCTGTCTGATTACAAATTCAACCCTTATTTTTCGGACGGATTAAAACTCATAAACCCATTTTTCCAGATACCCGTAATCTTCTGAGACATTATTGAAACAATAGGGTTCAAATTATTGGATTTTGATGTGGTCTGGATTTCCCCGACAATCACTTCCCCGACAGTCATTTCTCCGACATTTAAGATAACTTCAGGACTGATTGAACGATGTGTGTGTGCAACCATATCGATATATAATTTTGGACATTTTGTGCAACATACTAAAAAATTGATATAACCGGAGTCTTAGAATCTTTTTCCTTGATGGACAACCCAGAACTTCTATTTCGAGTCTTCAGTTCTCTATCCTCTGAGCAAGATTTAGCATCATGCCTTCCAGTATGTAGAGCCTGGGCCGCGCTAGTCGTTCGCTTGGCCTGGGCTGACCCCTTCACAAATATAAGAAAAATAAACACATTGATAAAATATTGTCTCTCTGAAGAAGATAGACAGGACATTGATATGTATTTGCCACATAGCAACCAAAAGCCTATGTTTCACTATCCTGCATATTTAGAAACATTAAACTTTTTTAAGCTGTTTTATCTTATAACGAGGTGGATACAAACACAGCCGGATATCAAAATGAAGGCGGGACGGAGGCAATTGGTTCGTGCGATATTGCGAGCTTATGCTCGTTCTCACGCACAGGCTCGGACGTTGATAGTCCGATGGGAGTCATACGGAGAGGGTTCGGAATTCCATTGCGACGTGGACGATGCTATGATTCTTCTCGATCCCGACATTTGTCCAATTATAGTAAAAACCACGAAGCTAGTTATTAGAACCCCAGCATTTTTTGGTAAATTCCATGAAAAATTGCCAGGGACTTTTAAAGAGTTGGTATGTGGGAATCCCGTTCGATGCATTATTCAAATTGCCCGAAGAGACTTTTTATACGAATTGAGTACTTTACAAATGTCGTGTTTTTTCGTTAGGAAATTGTATTAATTTAATTCGTCTACTACACTAATTAGAAAATACTAGAACTAAAATTTACTGCATGGATGAAAGACAGAGGAAGTGATGATGAACATCGTCCGTTTGCCGCAATGCTTGAGCAGAATGAACTAGATGAGTTGATTGTGCAACCACCGCCTGGACTTAATAGATTTTTTGTAGTGATGAATGTTGGCATAGTGACGCTATCAAAAACATTAAGATTTATGGAATTTCGTAGTATTAATTTTGCAACATACGAAAAGCCATTTGCGGCTCTACAAATATGTACACAAATTGAGGTGATAGTATTTGATTGGTGTTATAATGTAAATAGCGATATGGCTAAGGAGTTGATATCGGCTTCGTTTCCAGCGTTAAGATCGGTGGAGTTGAAGGATTGCTTCAACATGTCAGATTTGAAACAATGGGCAGACGAGATCGATGAAAGATGTAGAGGCAAATCTGATAGTATTAAAAAGCCACATACAAAATCAAAGACCGAAGAGCACGAACCAGTCATTCACCGCCGCGAACACCGTCGCGAACACTTACATAGATAATTATAGAATACGGGCATTTATGTGTGTGTTTTGTTTGTTGTTTTTCTTTCTCCAGGGGATTTCATTAAGCTTAATAATTATAGAACAATATGATATGTATTAGTATTAATAAACGTAAGCTTTCACTGGTCAAAATACCGAATACATTACAAAGTAAAAGTAAAAACATCAATGCAATGACAAAAGGGGACGTCACACGTTTCACATACAATTTTAAAAGTGGGGTTAAATTGGATTGCTTATACCGCTTTCTATTTTCATCACCTTATTATTGTTACAGATTTCCTTATAATTGTTCGGGTTGATAATAATAAAATTAAACTAAACTTGTGTCCATTGTTTGAGTGATTTTTCCCATGAATCGTGAGTTTATTGGTCAGTATTCGGTGCAAATGAACGTTTATTCCGATTGTAAAAGTTATTGTTGAGTCTCCTTATATTTGCCGAAATCGGGTTGATTGTTAAATATGCGCAAGACATAGGACCAACGTTGATTAACCTCTTTAATCGGATAACTGTCCTAAGATATTGCTCGAATGGGTTAAATCAACACGTGGGTTGTATATTTGAATAATTAACAGTACAGTAGACTGTAACAATCGGATAAGCCAAGAAAAGAAAACAGTATCAGGAGAGGGAATAATCCGATAGTCCTATTGATTGTATATTCTTAAATGAAACTCTTAAATGAAAAGCACGCACGTTTAAGCAAACCTTACGATATTAAAAAGAAAAGACTCAGATTACAGGTACAAACCATAAAATAATTGTTGACGATAAATATTATTATAATAGTCAAATCCATCGTTTTTACCTCGTAGTAGAATTTATTGTAAAGCTAAAAATAGACTCGACCAAATATACCAGTTAGACTTGATCATCCCTATCCAAAACAATTACTCGAATATTTGAATATTGGTAAATGATTTTCGTATTGCGTGGGAATGCATTGCTTATCATGTAGCTTACGTCGTCATTACAACGCACAATGCAAATGCATGCAGTAGACAAAGACAAACAAAAGAACGAAACTTACGCATGCAATCCCCGGTCATATGAAGTCGGCAGCGGGCCGCTTATGGAGATGATTTCCGAAAAGCGTAATGGCGCCAATCTGGTGTTAGTATTATTAGTCAAGCCCAAGAACACTTTAACCGTGAAAGACTTTTAGAAAGCGACAAGAAAATTGAGCATTTTTATGATCATGGTGCTTGAATATATATCAAGTCAGGTTTCGAGACCGACTTACAGAAATGCAATCTGTCCAGATTATTAAGATGGGTCAGCCTACAAAGACAGAAATAAAAGAAAAATTTTAATTACTTGGATGTTCCCCGCCTTGCTTTTTGTTTTAATCTGGGAACAAGTTGCCAGCAATTTCTTGTTAGACTTGCGATTCAAATGGTTCCTGACATTTAAATGCTTTTTACCGAAAGCGAATAAACCTGAATCAGATGTCAAAATTGTCTCTTTGTATACATATCGCCATCGATACCCTGCTCATTAAACTGGGTAAGAAAAGGATTCGCACACCTCTTGGGCTTATAAAAAGTGGACATGATTGTTCCCGATAAATTGACCTTGACGATTACTTAACAGCAAGTTTTTGTCCAAGAGAATCATGATACTTATTATTACTGCCAAAGCCCATCCAATTTGACAAAGATTTGGTTGAATTCTAAATGATGATGCAATTTATTTTTTCGTCGGGTTGATCACGTGAATTTTCGAGAAAATCGGATTGATATAATTCGCACAAGCACATTGAATTCAATCTTCCAAAAAATGCCAACCCTACACGTTCAACCCACGCGGAGATGGTATCTAATAACTCTTCCTCCCCTCTCTCAATCAGTATCGAAAAATTCTCCCACGTCAGATATACAGACTCGCGCGGAATCCCTTTTACGAGATGAAAACACATTATATGAGAAAACCAACACATTATCCGCCTCTGATCGCTCGTTCTATTCATCTATGTTAAAATCAGGCACTTTAAAAGATAAAATTTCGACATTGTGCGTTTTAATAGATGAATCTGCAATCCATACCGTTAAATCTTTAGACATGTTGATGGGAATGGTGAGGAAAAAGAGTCGACATGAGGCTCTGTTGGCGTTGGAGAGTATGAAGAATTTGATGATCGAGACTTTGTTGCCGGATCGGAAATTAAAGTAAGAAAAACATGACGGGTATATACATATAAGGGTCAGCAACAAAAGTTCTGTTTCTTTTAGATGGCCAAGCTTTTGACGATTTGTGCTGATTTGGCATTGTAGGTACTTTCGTGATCAGCCTCTTGGAGATCCCAAGGTAACATCGTCGCATTTAATAATTTGGGCTTTTGAGAACCATCTCAAGACGTGCTATTTCGAGATGATCCGTGTTATCGAGGTAAGATTTAGTCCATCCAGCATAATTGTGTAGAGTGAAATCAATGTCTAAAGAAAACGTTATGGATACAGGCTCTTTCACATGATGTGTTAGTGCATGTTCGTCAGCAAATGCTCGAATTTATATTTGAACTATTACGAGAGAAACCTGAACAAGAACAGAATCTCCTCAAGCTATTTATCAATAAACTGGTATTGTCCACGATTTTTTATTTACAAAACAACAGACAACTATATGTATTACGGATACGATTTAACGATAAGTATACTTTTTTTTCTTTAGGGAGATCAAGATAAGAAAATTGCGTCAAAGGCGTCATTCCTGGTTCAGAAATTACTAGAGGTCCACCCAAACATGAAAATTTTTGTTGTGCGCGAGATAGAACAATTGATCCTTCTCCCAAACGCTAATGCACATGCTCAATATTACGGGATTTTGTCATTGAGTCAGCTGATGCTAAACAAAAAGCAAGTCGATGTAGCGAACAAGCTGGTTGATATATACTTTGCAATGTTTCGAAAACTATTGGGTATCAATGCCAACAATGAGAATGATGGTAACAAGAAGAACAAGAAATCCAAGGACGTGAAGAAGGGAAAAACGTCTGGGAGTAAAGGAAAGAAAGCGAATAATAACGAGAATAAGGCAAGTCTTTACGTTGAAGAAGAGTCATTGAATTCAAAGATACTTGCTGCTGTATTGACAGGCGTCAATCGCGCGTTTCCGTTTGCAAAAATTGACGATAAAGTGTAAGTACATTTACTCGCTTAATAAGATATGTTACAGGTTGAAGATTGGGCATTAATATTGTGTTTGCTTTGCCGAAACAGGTACGACAAAAACATTGATACGCTTTTTCGAATCACGTACAGCGGAACTTTCAACATAAGTATTCAAGCGCTTGTATTGATATTTCACATAAGTTCAGTTAAAGAGGTAAAAAGAAAAAAACAATGTTCTATATGGATAATGTAATCCTTGTATACAGCGAACGAATCTAATGTAGGCTAATATTCTAGTGTTTTCCCATATAGTCAGTAACGGATCGTTTCTACCGAACGTTATACGAATCGCTACTAGACCCACGTTTAATAACTACATCGAAACAAGCAATGTATATGAATCTACTCTTCAAGGCACTCAGGGCTGACAAGTTATTAGCGAGAGTGAAAGCCTTTGTAAAAAGAATAGTACAAACAGCAGCTCATCATGAACCACCGTTTATTTGTGGCGTATTTATATCATTGTCAAAGGTAAAAAAAAAAGGAATGGGGATGGGGATAAAAGGCTTTTGGTTACGGGAGATTTTTGATTGACGCTTAACATCCGGCATGTGTATGTATTAAAATGAGCTTTATCATGTATTATTAGCTTATTCAAGAAAAACCTGGTTTAAAAGCAATGATGCTCCAACCAGAGGGTTATGACGTCCATGACATTGTATTGGAGTCGAAAACTAAAAAATCAAAGAAACGAACTATCACTGATGTCGATGCTGATGTGAGCAACACCCCCGATTCATCTTCTTTGAAATACGATCCTCATAAACGAGCTCCTCAGTATAGTAACGCGGACAAGACGTGTCTATGGGAATTGGTAAGTCGCACTTTCCTTTCACTTTCTCCTCTCCGAGTAGGCTCTTCTAATCAACGCTATTCTATGCTTTAATTCTGTCCCCTTCTCTGCCTCCCCTCTTTACAGTGCCCGTTCATTGACCACTTTCATCCATCTGTATCCCTATACGCAACACAACTTTTAGATGGAATTCAAAATACTACCGAGCCGGATCTTCAACTTCACACGCTATCACATTTCTTGGAGAGATTCGTCTACCGCAATCCTAAAAAGAAGGACATGAAAGAGACAGTTGCGATTACGAATAAAGCATCAACAAGTGCGAACATGGAAGTCAATGTTAATTCAGAAGAATTCTGGAGAACAAAGATTGAAGATGTGCCTGTCGACCAGGTATATTTGAAAAAAAACGAGAGAAATTTGCATTGATTGGAGGATCTGATAATGGTTTGCAACACAGTTCATATTGTGATTACTAACCGTTCTACCTCTTGGACGATTTCTCTTTTTCTATAGATATTTTTCCATAAATACTTTACGCAAAAGTTGTCTTCCGAAGGCGTAACTCGAAAGAAAAAGAAGGAACGAAAGGTCGCGGATAATGATAAAGAAACAGATTCGGAGGAAGAAGAAGAAATATGGCGAGCTATTGTTGCTGACAGACCTGAAGTAGATGTTGACGTCGATGATGATGAGGATGACGATGATTTGGAGGATATGGATATGGACTTTAGTGATGATGATAGCGATATTCTAAATCTTGAGGATAACGAGGGTAGTGAGGAAGGAGAGGAGGATGACGAGAGTGAGGAAGGGGGAGAAGAGGAGGACGAGGACGTCGACGATGATGAAGACGAAGACGACGATGAAGATGAAGCAAATGAAGGTGATAAGGACGAGGTCGATGAAAATGGAGTTGAATATGATGAGGATGGTGAAGATAAAATCGATCTTAGAGTTGGCAGCAAGCTCACAAAGGATAAGCGTGCAAAGATAAAAGTAGACACTGCTGAATCACAATCCAAAGGTAGGCAGTTTGTGCTATTATTATAATTGCTACCGTGACGATTATTGACACTGAACCATGTTGTAGGTAAACGCAAGAGCAAACGACAAAAATTGAAACACCTGCCTACATTTGCTAGCTTTGATGATTATGCGAGCATGCTTGATGATTAATAAATTAATTCAATATAATCAAGAATTAGAGATTCGTTATTTATTCATGCGATTGTCACAATGCCCGGGCGGAGAGAATAAACATGTGTCGCATCATCTCAACAGAGATGTTTTGTTTTTTCACTTTTAGACGTTCTCGTCTAATCTTTCTGAGTTTAATTTCCTTACGGCTAGCATCAAATAATGTGGTTTGTACCGTTTTGCTAGCACGCTCAGCCATATTGCGACTGTGATGACGATCATACTAGAAAAAAAATTTTTTCCGCATCGGGGAATCGAACCCCGGCCGTCGCGGTGAAAGCGCGAAATCCTAACCACTAGACCAATGCGGATTTATTATTTGCTTTTAGAAAGCTAGACATTTTATTCTGCCCGATTGAAGGTAAATGCCTAGCGTAAATATTTGTTTCTTCAACGTCTGCAAACTAAGTTTCTATCTTGTGACAGAAAGATGTGCGATCTTCCTACGCATGCCTTTGACAATCGCAGAGAATGATGCATCAGTTTCTTAGTACAAGTAATAATAATAAACCTTGTGCTATATATAATACATTTGATAATATCATTTACTAGTTATCTGTGATTACTAATTATAAGCGTTGGAGTCTGATGAGCACTTTTAAGGTGGTTAGCCGCATAAAAGACTTTTTTACCAAACGTTAACATTGATGTAAGTGGCGACAATATCCTTTTGATGATACAAATATATTGACATTGACGGACGAAAACCGGTTATAATTCGAGTAATCACATTGTCGTTATATTTATAGTTTTAACTCTAAGCTAAAAAGTTCAGCAATGACACATTACAAACAGAACAATGATCATTCACAGTGCACTGTATTTATTTGACGTCAAATAATTGAATAATTGATACATGGCAGCTTATGATAAACATATATAATAAAAATTCCAAACTTAAATCACTCCTCTACGTTTACTTGTTCGCCTCCTGTTTGGCATTACCCGCCGCTTTATCCGCCTGACCTTCCGCTTGCCATTGTTCGTTACCGATTGCAGAGCCGACTGTATTCTTAACAGTACCCTTGGTTTTGTCGGTTGTTCCTAAGAAAGTCGAAAGCATTTAATGCACAACATCGCATAATGAATAAAGACGACAAGTACAATTTATTAATTAACACAACTCACCCTCCGCGTAGCCTTTCGTCTTGGCCGCCTCAACCTCAGCCATTCCCTTATTCTTGGCGTAGTTGCCCTCTGCCTGGAGTTTTTCATTGCCTAAGAGTTGACCTACTTTTTCTTTGGCAGCGCCTTGGTAGTATTCCTTATTTCCGGATATTCTGGATGGCTCGTTGGAGTTGTTGTTATTGTTGTCGTGAGAAGACATTTGGTAGTTTTGAATATATGAGTTGTTATGAGATTATGAGATTGGACTTTGAAAGGTTGAGAAATCGACTTTCGAGAGGATTGCTTGCTGAGCCTGACCTTCGAAGATCGTGCTTATATAGATTTTCATCTTCCTTGGGCGTAATACCTTGAAACCGCAAATTAACAAGTGCACTCGTTCATCATAACGTAATGAAATACACGGTTTAACGATATTTGTGATATTCGGAATGCAAAATACCAAAATGGGTATAGTGCGATAAACGTGTGACAATATAGCCTGGATTTTCTATGTCATTACGTAGCGTGTGATAAATTTGGGGGGTCACAATGTATTACCGCACACGCCCTCCTCGATCGATTATTACTATTCCAGCAAGATGATGATGTTACTTATAAAAGTAGTTTATAATTATTTTCACAATACTGGTAGACTTGGTTTTATTAAGTAATATTAACATTCTTAGCAAGGCAATACAATATTTGTTTTACATCTACAGCGCAGTAAATTAGGGATCACTATGTGCGCCGAATAAGACTCTGAAAATTCAATAGTATTGTGACGTCAACAAATATTTGGCTTTCATATTTTGTGGCTGACCTCATTGATGTTGTCTCACGCTCAGATACGTAATCACACAGTCAAGTTTGGATGTAATCATACTTTCGTCATGTATACGAAATTGCATCGGGAGTGCTGTAACAAAGATAGTGGCGCATACCGAGCTGAACCAATATCGTCAAGAGATGTATTATGTCTGTGATAACTATTATAGCGGATCCGCTCGTTTATACTAACAGTCACGTGAAATATGCAAAAATTAATTAACCGTTTTAGGTTATGTAATTATTAACGAATAACCATGTCACCGTAAAAAACTGTTGGTTGAATTCTTCTGGAATGACGTCGTTCTGAGCTTTCTCATGAAGGACAAGAGACAGATTTGGAAATTAAGAATTCTGAATGGAGCCGCTAATAATGATACATAGTTTAGTCTTAAATTCCTCGCTCTTGGTTTACGAATCTTGATCCCATTTTACTATCGCCTTAAGATGTCGCAATGCGTCGCTTAAGATCTTTAACGACTTGATGCATGTTTCTATAGTAGGTACACTCACTGGACAAAAGTCTACGTAATTTTTGTCGATCACATAGTAAAACATATGAAAAATCTATTTTTTCGAA